TGGGAGGAAAAGAGCAAGATCACGCTGCCATTGTTAACCTCCCACAGGTCTCTCACCCTTGTCTGTTTCAACCAGTCTAGGAGTGTCTCTGCCCCGTGTGCCTCCTTCCGGTCTCCTTCTGGCTCCCATCCTTCCTCCTTCAGCCTCCTGCTTGTCCTCCTCCCAGATCAAATCCACCCTCCCTTGAGTGTGGCAGGGAACCTAGGAACTCCCTTTTCCTGGGGACCACCCTGTTATACATCCGGTATTAACAGAAACTCCTTTTATTACAGTAAGGTTTGAGTAGTTTTGTTTTGTTTTTTAATATTAATTTATTTATGCAGAGAACAGTTGGGGTATAGGCCAGAGATGGCAAGGAGGAGGTTGGGGGTGTGGGGGTGTGGGGGAGAGGGAGTGCTTAGAGGATTCACCTGCTCCTTAAGAGAACAGAACAGGCAGCTTTTCAGTAATAAACACACTGTTGAAGGAAAAGCAGGCACAACAGGAGAGGTCTGCTGTGCCATGTGGGTCAGCTCCCTGGCTGGGGATCGAACTCAGGCCTTGGAGTGCACTGTCAGTGATAGTGCTAAGACTTATCCCCTGTGCCACTAGGGAGGCCTGGGTTTTTAGTTTCAATAGGAAAATCCTACTTTTGGATTGTTTATGTATGACTATTTAAAAATTTAACATGGGCCCTCCCTGGGGGCGCAGCGGGTTAAAGCACAGCACTGAGAAGCTAAAGCCACTTCTGCATGAGTTCAATTCCCGCCTTCCCTGGAGGTGATCACATGCTGTGGCAGACCTCTCCTGGCCCCCCCGCTGCTCCCCTCAGCAGTGTACCTCATCGATCTGCCTGTTCTGCTCCCCACTCTGTCTCTGGTGAAGCCTCTCGCCGCCCCTGAGCCTCTGACCTGTACCCAGCTCTGTATGCACAAATAAATAAATCTTTAAAATAATAATAAAAAAAATTAAAATAAAAATTTAACACGCTTATATCTATCAGGTGACTGATCTGCCTCTGAGGGGAGCTCGTGACCAGGTGTATCTTAGGGTGTCTGTGCTCACCCCAGGACAGATGAAAGAAAAACAAGCTAAGTCTGGCCTGTCCTAACAAGTTGGAATTGAGCCAACCAAGACTAGGGCCTGTATTTGACTAAAAAGTTCTTATTTGAATTTAAGTGTATTTTTTTGTATTTCTTAAAAATATCTCTATTTGATCATGGCTTAAAGTATTGCACAGCTACAATTACAACAAATAAAAGTTTAGATTAAAAAAAGAAGCACCACTCAGAAATCAGCCACACCTTGAGTCAAAGCCATCTCCTTCAATTTTCTAGATAAATGACCTTGGCCAAATTCCCTAACCTCCCCAAACCTGTTTTCCTCATCTGTAAAATGACCACAATCAAAACTACCTCATAGTTTGGTTGTAAATAATAAATGCAATTAAATATGTATAGTGTTTAGTGATAATAACATTTACATAACATTTGCTCTGGGCCAGTCACTGATCTAGACACTTGACTTCTATTTAATTCAGCAGACTTTTCACAACAACTTTATAAATTAGATACTACTATCATTCCCACCAAGAAACTGAGAATCAGAGAAGTGAAGTAACTTGTCCAGGTTCACACAGCTAACAGGTAGTGAAGTTTTAGATCCAAGCCCAGGCATTCTGATTCCAGAACTGTTTTTAGCCTTGACAGGATACCTGTTCTCTGAATAAATGTTCAATACCCAAAACTTCAATAGCATTGAGGGAAAAAGTGTTGTTTTAAATTTTACTGTTATTAATTTTGCATCGTTTAATTTTTTTTTATTTTAAGAGCACTTTACTCAAAAAATGAACCAAGATATATAGCCTTTAAATAGGAATACTGTGTAATACAGCAAGGTAAATAACCTGTAAGTGTTAATGATGTCTTCTTGAGGTTTAACTCAGTTATAGAAAAGAGTAATGTTTTCTTGTTTGTTTTGATTTTTTTTTTATTCATACAACATTGATTTACAACATTGTGTGTGATTCAGGAATACAAGATCCCACCTCTTTAGATGTATGTGACTGCACCACAAGGAATGTTTTTAATAATACAAATCACAATAACAGTAGAAATAAAAAGCAAGCAGAAGAGACACTGAATAACTTCTGTGAACATGAAAGTTAGAAATGTCTATCAAAAAACCACAGGATGTCGGGGATCTATTTCCTGGGTAAAAGACATAACTTGGTTTTAGGATATACTATTTATAATTCTGACAATTTTTTTTAAGATTTATTTATTTGTGCATACAGAGCTGGGGTACAGGCCACAGGCTCAGGGGCAGCAAGAAGCTTCACCAGAGACAGAGTGGGGAGCAGAACAGGCCCACTGATGAAGTCCACTGCTGAGGGGAGCGGCGGGCAGGTCAGGAGAGGTCTGGCGTGCCATGTGGGTCACCTCCAGGGTGTGGGGATCAAACGCATGCTGAAGTGGCGTTAGCTTTTCAGTGCTGCACCACCAGGAGGCCCAATTCTGGCTACTTTTAAATCCAAATGCATTCTTGACAAAATATGGTAAAATAATAAACCATCCTTCTTTAAAAATATCAAACCAACATAAGTATTTCAATCTTACTTGATGTAAGGTATTCGCAAAATGTGAGAAAACACACCATCTAGTTCAGATTTCCTTTCTTCTCTTGAACACAGAACTCATAATTATTTGTATTTGTCTTCATTCAACCTATGTGCAATGCACACTTAGGGTAGCCCAGTGCTGGAGGCTAGAGCTATCTAGGAAAAACACAGCTCTCCAGGAAATGCTCAGAATAAAGAAAGCACAATAATGTGATTGGAGATCTCCAGTAGAGTTTCCATAGCTGGATGGAAAGATAGGTAGAGAAAGAGGAGGGAAGGGGGAGGACACTAACCAAGCAAACAGCCCATGGCAAAGTCAGAGGGGCTTGAGCAGGGTGGAGGTTTTAACTGAAGCTTCCTAGGGGTGCAGAGGCGGTGAGAGGCTTCACCAGAGACAGCGGGGAGCAGAACAGGCAGATTGAGGAAATACACTGCTGAGAGGAGCAGCGCGCAGGTCAGGAGAGGTCTGCCACGCCATGTGGGTCGGCTCCCTGGCTGGGGATCGAACTTGTGCTGCAGTGGCTTGGGAGAGCTTCACAATGATGTGTTTAACCTGTCACTTCACCAGGGAGAGCCCCTATTTTTAAGGCAGTTGTAGGTTAACAGAAAATTGGAACAGAATTCCTCCTCTGTCTTCTCCAATTCTGAACAGCTGGCATTAGAACAGCTCCTTTGCTAAAACTGCGAGTTCACTCTGCAGTGGCCTATGAGTTTAACAAATACCCACGACACCTGTCCCTCACCACTACAGTATCAGTATCACCCCAAATAACGCCACTGCCTTAAAGATCCCAGCCCTCTCTCTGTTTGTCTTTCCTGACAACCCCCAAGCTCCCCTCCTTTCTTAGTAGAAAAAAAAAAGCCTTCTTTCTTTCTTTTTCATCTTTCCAAACTTCCTCTTTCTGTGAAACGTAGGCCTTGAACCCAACAGCACTTATCTTCTGACCAGCCACTTTATCCTTCACTTTCAATCACTGGTTTCCGCACCTTCCGCATCCAGGCGCACCAGTTATTACCCGAAAAAACACAAGGATCTGGCCACCCTCTTGACTGCGGACTCAGCAGAGTGCTTACATCCCAAACAGCCCAGCTGCAGGCCTCCCGGTGTGGTGCAACACTTTGCACTCCTGCAGCTTTCTCAGTATCAAGTCAGCTAGTTTCCTGCAGCAACTTCTCTGTCTACTTAGTTCATTCCTCTCTGACAAAGAAAGGCTGCTTTTTCCTCCGTTCTATTCACGCCACTGGTGGTGCTGAGCTTTGTTTCCTTGTCGTCGCTGTTGTTCTCTTGGAATAAGATCTCCCCTTCCTAGCGCGTCCTATGAAAGCATTAGGCATTTTTCACAGCCCACTCCACATCCTCTCTGAAGCCTTCTGCTTCCATGGCTGGCTGGCAGGGTCTCTTCACCCATCTCTCCTGAAAAGCCTTCCCTGACGAGCCTGTGTCCTGCCCAGCAGAGCAGCAATGTGTGCAGACAGCCAGGAGGCTCACCAAGTGCTCTTTCTGCTCTGGGCTCTGCTCCTTCGCCTGCCTCCCATTTTCCCAGGTGCTTGCATTCCTTTCTTTGTTCATGGAAATAAAAACCAGAAATAAAATGGAAGCCTGCAGGTGATACTGCAGAAAGAGACACAGACACTAGACGGAGGCCAGGCCAGAGGAATCGCCCTGGCGGAGTGCAACTCAGCCCACAGCTCTTACTCAAACTCCTGGAGGTCAGGGAACCTCTGCGCAGAAGCCCTGTGATTCAGCAAGGAAGCATTTCATTGAGCCAACAAAGCGCCAGGCTCGCAGCAGCTCCATTAATCTTGTGGAGTCGACGCTGACAGTTCTTGCAGAGAGCTCCAGTTGACAAACAAATGGTCCTGATAGGAAACCTAAGTGCCAGCAAAGTTCCTAAGTCCCGGCCTTGAAGTAACAGGTTGCCGAGGCTGCCGCAGAGTTCACTTGCGATGGCCAGTAGCTGTACAAGGTTGTGAAAACCACGACAAAGTGAAAATCAGTGGTACAGCCTACCTCTGCTCTGCTCCCGCTGCATCCTCAGAAGCCAGGAGACGCAGTTTAGTTCACAACTTAGAGAGGAAAGAGCAACATCCCGTGTGTGTGTGTGTGTGTGTGTGTGTGTGTGTGTGTGTGTGTGTGTGTGTGTGTGAGAAGACAGAGACAGAGACAGGGACAGGGACAGGGACAGGGACAGGAGCCAGCAGGCTGGGAGGGAAGGTGGTGAGGGGGCGGAAGGGCAATCCGAGCCCCCAGGCGCTCCCCCCCCCCCTCCTTGGAGCGGTCCTCAGGACCATCTGTGCAAAACCAACTCCCGCCCTGCCCTCTCCCTGCCTGCCACACAGTCGGTGGTGGCGGGGCGGCTGGGACCTGAGCTCAGCTCGGCTGCCAGTCTGAAGGCAAAGATCGATCGCGGAGCCTGGCGCCCGGAGCGCCCAGGGCCAGGTGACACAGCCGTGGGTTCCTGGCGCGGCGCGGACAGTTTCCTCCCCGCCCACTCGCAGGCCGCCGCGCGCGCGCAGGGTCCATAAAAGCGGCGGCGAGGCCGGGACGCCAGCTGCCCACCGCGGAGCGGCGCGACCATGCACGTGAACGGCAAAGTGGCGCTGGTGACCGGCGCGGCGCAGGGCATCGGCAGGGCTTTCGTGGAAGCGCTGCTGCACAAGGGTGCCAAGGTAAGCGAGGCGCCCGGCCGCCCAGCAAGGGGTTTGGGGGCGGTGAGGGGGGGGGCGCGCTGCGCCCCAAGCGCCCACCTGGCCTCTGCCCGAGGCTGCCGGGCAGAGCTCTGAGCAGACCTGCAAAGCGGCCGGGAGAGGATCGCAACTTTAAATTGCGGCATTTCAGGTCCCAGCGCGGAGCGTCGCTGCTTGGCCACTGTCTGTCAGTGTCCTGAGCTGCGCAGGACTCGTCTCCTCTCCTCTCTCTGTCCAGGTAGCGCTGGTCGACTGGAACTTGGAAGCAGGTATAAAGTGTAAGTCTAGCCTGGATGAGATGTTTGAACCTCAGAAAACGATATTCATCCAGTGCGACGTAGCTGACCAGCAACAGCTGACAGGTAAGAGATGGGTCGGGGTCGCCCTTCAGCGCTGGGGGTCGGGAGGTAGCCGAGGTGCAGGGGGCGGGCTGCCCCGGGAGAACAGCTACCTCTGAACTCCGAAAAGATAGTTCAGGCTGTTGTTGCTGCTGATTTAGAAGCTAGGGGGTGGGGGAAAGCCAAGCCAGCTTGAGAAATCCACTTATTGAAGTTATTTGGCAGCTTTTAATGTAATCAAAATTCCTTTGTATGTTCAGAGACAGTGCTGCTACAGTAATCAGTAAATAGTTGAAAAGACAGAGGGGACTTGGAAAGTTAAGGTAGGTTAAGAGACAGTGACAAACAACTTGTCCCAGAAAGCTGGGGGACACGGAGTCGAGAGAAAATCAGCCGGGACAGGGGTTGACTTTAAACATACTTGAATGCAAGTTCAAGGACCATCACCACAGAAATGCTGGATGCTTCTAAGCAGATGAACTGGTACTTTAACGGCAGTGTTAGACTGACAGAAGAAACGTTTCTGTCAGCCTTTCCTCAATGCTTTCCTGTTTCCGCCCACTCACCTAAAATAGAACAAACTACTGGTGAAAGATCAGAGACAATATAGGCACGAGGAATAAACAAATTCGGTCATATAGAGACCTAGTAGCTTTGAATCCAAAGATGCCTTTTCTGGGAAAAGTGTGGAAACACGTTTTTGTATTTCACACAATTTTACTGAAAGGCTGAAGAGATAATCAGTGTGGAGACGTCTTTGCTTAAGGGACCACAAAACTTCTATAAAAGTCACTGTAGTACTTCTGCTCTTAAAAGAACACTGACATGGGAATTTTTTAAATATTTTGGGACATTCTTTTGTAGAGTGAGAATGGGGCAGTCTCTCAGAAAGGAGTGTCCGTTTACGGTGAAGGGAGATTGTTTTAAATGAAGTTATGTAATTAAAATCTGCAAATGCTAATAAAGACCTAACATGGGCCACCCGCACGTGTAGAGAAGATATGTAATCAAGAGCTAATGTAAGATATTTTGGCAGAGGATACAATTGCATGAATGGCTCGTGATTTTGTTTAACTCAGGATATAACCATGTCAACCCTTGGCATCCAAGCTGGAGGAGGAATAGTGCAGATCATCTGCAAGATATTTCTGAATTTATGTCATTTCATAAGTCACGTTTAACCTTCATTGTTTTGCTTCCCAGTATTTAAAATTAGTACCTTGGCTGTAAACACATTCCTTAAGGATAAGTGATTGTGGAGGAGGAGCTTAGACACATGATGAGTGACCAGGAGAACGCATGTTGGTCATGAGAAACCCACATGCTGTCTGGACATCAGCATTTCTTTGCAGGGAAGGAAAATGTGGCATTGATTCATTCTTACAATTTCAGGATTTAATGCAGCTACAACTTTTGAAACTGTCCAGACATATAGCCAAGGGATGCTTCACCAAAATCATAAAAATACAGAGGCAAAAAGTTCTTGGAATGATGTAGATAAGTCACTTTATAAATGGAAAAAGTAACATGTGACACAGAATTTAGGTAGAGAGGACCACAGCAATGCTGGTGAGAGCTAGACTGTAAGTCCCGTGAGCCCAGAAGTCAGAATTCAGTGGTATGTCAGAAAGAAGATGTGTTTTACACAGTGGTGAGGGCAGAGCATAAGGAATGCAGTGGAGACCAGAATGAGGAAAGAAAATTAAAGAAGCAATTAGACATGTTTATTTAACAAGCTAATTTCCTATGAGGAACACATTGAAGAGTAGAACATACTTAGGATGGAATGTGAACAAAAAAATAATAATCCTCAGATGTTTTCTCCTGGAGGACCTTTTCTGGAGTCAATTTGAGATGTTAAGAAGCAGTTTTAGAATTCCATGAAAAAGTAAGCCATTTTTATTTGTTACTGTTTTCCACTCCATTGTAATATAGTATACTGTAAAGAATGCATAATTTTTGACTATTGACTTACATGCCAGTTCATCCATTTGGGAACTAATTAATCCATGCCCTACTCAATATAATATGCCCAGGCATTTTTAATAATTACATGACATTTTTTTAATCAAAATAAAGGTTATGAGGAGCTGCTGCTTTTTTTTCAAGGAACTCTTTTGATGACCCTAAGACCTGAGAACATATCTGTCATTAGGAAAAATAACCACTCTTGTTATCTAGAGTCTCCAGGAATAGAATTAGAACTCAGGTAAAAAGCCAGGGAAGCATTTTAAATCAATGGAACTATGTAAAGCAGCTTTGAGAAATACTGAGTTTCTCAATACAGAGGTGTTGAAGCCCAGTTTCAGCTGGTGGAGGAGGCCTGGAGGGATGGTGGGGGTGGGACAATGAATGCAACAGTCACCTGCCAACCTCAGAATCTATGCAAAGCAGACCCTGGTTGGGATAGATTTTATACAAGCTAGCATACCAAGTAGTAGTAACAGTAAAAAAGAGGCTTTGGCGGGTGGTGCAGTGGGTTAAACCACAGCACTATGAAACCCATCATGGCTGCATCACTGTTAGTTCGATTCCTGGTCCCAGATGTGACCCACACAGTGCAGCAGACCTCTCTTGTCTGGCCCGCTGCTCCCCTCAACTGGTCAGTCGGCCTGTTCTGCTCCTTACTCTGTCTCTGGTGAATCTTCTCACTGCCCCTGCACCTCTGGACTGTACCCTAGTTCTGTATGCATAAATAAATAAATCTCTAAACAGTAGAAAAGAATGAAATAGCAAATATAGGCATGACACTAAGCAAATAAATCAACTGAATGAAAAGTCGACTTTTATTTACTAGGACCTCAAAGCTCCTAGAATAGACCTGAATATACAAGGAGCCTTGTGTTTAATGTCACACTCGATGAAGACAATATGGTTTATTTTAAAAGGGTATTTGTCATCCATTAAGCCTCAGAACTTCTCAGGGTCAGAGGGATGCTGACTTCCAGAGGTTCTTAGCTTAGAATGCACATTTCTTTAAAACTGACTCCTGAAGTTGGGTTTATAGAAGTTTAACTGCATACAGGGTATCTATGAGTCCTACTGAAGTTCAGATTCTAGCTCAGTAGGTCTGTGCTGGCCACAGGTTCTATAGATCCTAGATGGGCCAGTTGTTTCTCTGGTCCATGGACCACAGTTTGAGAAACAAAGCATGAAGTCCCAAAGAGTGCAATTTGTACTAGGCAGGTGGATAAATGAAAGTTCACTTCAGCTTGTTGGATATGATTTACATGTATATATGAAAAGAAAAAAATATATATCTGTAATGTCTTTCTTTTTTTTTTTTTAACTAGAAACCTTTAGAAGAGTTGTAGACCACTTTGGAAGATTGGATATTTTGGTCAATAATGCTGGAGTGAATAATGAGAAAAACTGGGAAAAAACTCTGCAAATTAATTTGGTAAGCTCTCTTTGCCACCTTTTTGGCCTACAGTTATTTAATAAAATGATTTTTTAAAGGAAATAGTGGTTCTTACATTCATAACAACCAGTGACCTAAAATATAGAGAAAATGTTACAATAAACTGGAAAAAGAAAGAAGCATCTCTTTTGACCAATGAGACACTTGAGACTTAACTGTGAGGAAAAATCTGGCTTAAAATATTAAAAGGAAATGTGAAAAAAAAAAAAAAACTCACACGGTTTATTGCTTAATGCTGAGTTTGATAAACTGTGGCCTATGGGCCGACTTTTGAATGACCCACAAGCTAGAATGGGTTTCATGTGTTTTTGTTTTTGTTTTTTTTAAGGTTGATTTATTTATGCGTACAGAACTGGGGTACAGGCCAGAGGTGCAGGGGCGGTAAGAGGATTCATCAGAGACAGAGTGGGGAGCAGAACAGGCATATCAATGAATTACACTGCTGAGAGGAGCAGCGGGCAAGATAGGAGAGGTCTACCGTGCTGTGTGGGTCACCTCCGGTGTGGCAATCGAACTCATGGGGAAGTGGCTTTAGCTTCTTAGTGGTGCTTTAACCCACTGCGCCACCAGGGAGAGCTCCTTCGTTTGCTTTATTTAAAAAATAAATCTTAATTTTATTTCAGGGATATAACAGAAAACCAGTGAGAGTAATTGTTGGTAACTAGTAAGATTTTAATCAAAGTCAGTATATGTATGTAATTTCCATATTGTTGGATGATTATGTAGCTCTTGTATAAATCATGAAAATGCAAAATTAGGAAAGATAGTTTATCTTATGCATCGCATCACATATTTTATGATTATCTCATTTTATAGACACATTTGAACAAGGTCCTGGGGCTCAGTAAAATTCAAATCTTACTAAAGTAACATGTCAGGACCATACTGTCCCTTGGTAAGACCATTCCCACCAGTCTTGCTAAGCAAGTTTGTGCAAATACAAAAGGGACTCTGTGGGTGTGTGAACATCCAGAGAATGACCTCTTACTTCATGATATCTTCCTAGGAGATTATAAACGCCTCAAAAACAGGAACCACGTTATGTTTTTCTTCCTCTTTCAGTAACCAACGCCATATCTTGAAGATAGAGCAGTCAATAAATGATTGACTTTAATCGACACTCCCATGAGTCATATCTGTATAAATTACCTGATGGGAGTAATGAGAATTATTCTGTCTCATAGAGGAGCAGAATTTGTAAGCACCACTTTGATAAGGGTACAAAGTTGCTCCTCAAACTTGACAGATGCCTAAAATCCTTTCATCGAGAACAAAAGGTACTCTTTTAAAAGTACCATTTTTGCAGTTCTTTTTGAAATTTGGCTCAGCTTTTCCTGGATATCATTATATTTCAAAATAACTCTAAAACCTGTTTGTCAAGCTTCCTTTGAAATCTTTCTGGAAGTGTGTGTGTGTGTGCCTGTGCGCGCGCGTGTGTGTGTGTGTTAGAAAGAGCTGCCAAATGTTGTTCCTGAGTTGAGACAATTCTATGATGTTCTTTTACTTTAGACTAGTAATATAGTGAAATAGAAATGCAGTACTTTCGACTGTGAACAACATTTTTATCTCTTGGCTGAATGTAACTTTTTCACAATATATCAAGGTTTGCTACACCAGTGAATGTGCTTAGTTTAATCTTCTATTTGTGTGTTGGCTATAAATGATACTAGTTTGGAGTTTTCTGTGTTTTCATGTTTCTGTGTCAGTCATTGTTTACTGTAACCTGCTTGATCCTTCAGTTCCCGAACAGAACATAGTCATGTTGCAAACGACAAACGTGCATTTGTCAACCTAGTCAGTAATTCCTTTTTTAAAGAGTTGAACCCCATGTGGTCTGTGGTGTTTTTGATCGGTTGTGTGTTTTGAGATTGAAAGGTAGTACTTCACGATTTCTCTTGGTTCACACGTATCAAGACATATCTTCTTTTATGTATCTTGCAAATATCAGTAACCTTTTATATTAAATATGTCTCTTACAGGCAGTTTGATGTGAGGTCTTATTTTTTAAATCAAGCATTTGTGAATTTAAGTCACTTGTATTTCTTTTCTCCACTGTTAGGATTCATTCTCTCCACCTGTTCATCTTTTATATTTTCTAAGTTTTATTTTTGCTTTTGTTTCCTTCTCCATTCCTTTTAAAATTTTACTCACTAGATTTTCATTTTTGCTGTTGATAAGAGTAGTGTATAATTTAACTCGCTAAGAACCTTACTATATATCTTTTCATTGTCTATTAAAAAATATATTTTTGAATCGATAACCAACTCGAAACTATAAGAATTTTTAAAAATACATTTTGATAATTCTATGCCATTCTCCAAAAATCATAAATGACAAGAATTTTTGAATTGAGTTTTCCTAATGAAAAAAGAAAAAGAAAAATTAATTGCACAGCTTTTCCCCTATGTTGTCTCCATTGGTATGAAAGTTTTCACCAGTAATATCTACAGATATTTATGAATAAAAGTCACTAGGATATAAAATTCCTATATTCAATAAACCATAATATACCCTTCTGTGACTTTGCTCTAAGAAATTAGCTGTCAGAAAATTGTGCAATGAAAGTTAACATCAAGAAATTTGAAGATAGTGATAAGATTATCCTAGAAGTAAAAATGTTCAAGTTATCTGACTTCAGCTGAGAGGGCATGTTTGTTTTAATACAACCAAAGTGAATAAAACCCCAAGTTGGAAAAGTGCTTACTTACATTATCTGCAAATAGAAAACTCTGGTAGATGAGGAATTTTATTTGACAACTTTGGTTATAACATATTCTCAACCCCTTAGCTTAACTCCAGGGAATGACAACATTTATTTAATTTTTCATAGAAAGAACAACATACAACCTTTGTTACCCACACATGAATTAAAAAACATATTACTTTCCCTCCTACCTACACCCAGTGCAACAGCAGATTTGAGTCGAACCAATCATTGTCCTTCCACCTTGATTATCTGTTAGTATGATGCAAATATTTGCTTGTGGTTTATAGATAATCTCTTTTTTAAAACATTTGTTTTAATTTATTTATGCATACAAGAACTGGGATGTAGGCTATAGGTGTGGGAGTGAAAGGCTTCACCAGAGACAGAATGGAAAGCAGAACAGGCAGATCTATGAAATGCAACACTGAGGGGAGCAGCAGGTGAGACAGGAGAGAGAGGTCTTCTGTGCCATGTGGGTCAGCTCCCTGGCTGGTGATCAGACTCATGTTGCAGTGGCTGGAGATTGCTTGATAGTACTGAGACTTTTCCCCTTATGCCACCAGGGAGGCCACTGATAATCTGTCTTAAGACCTTGCCCTGAAGGTGACTTGTCTCTTTACATTATTCTGTTTTCTTTGCATGTATTCAGTATTCTTTTGCATGTTTTTCTCTGTCACTGTTTATGACAGAAAGAAGCCACTTAAACAATCATATCACATATCTCTCCTTTTATGAAATTTGATGTAACATATTTTTACCATCCTTCCAGGGCTTAGTGGTTTTTTGTTTGTTTGTTTGTTTTTGTCTTAAAACTGTTTTTATACATTTTCAATTTATATTAGTATATGATAAACTTCCTCAAGATGGAAATCAGTGTAGATGTTTGATGCATACTCCCATGCTATATTTTCCATTTAGGGGCATTCTTTTTTCCTTTCAGTTCAATTTTAGATTATTTCTGAATAATCAGTGTTGCTAAATAGTATCATCTGTGTTTCCACTTTTCCTCCTTACCAGATTTACCCCTTCCTTGTTTTTCTCTCAGCTGATCTCACCACACTTCCCACACAGTAAACCTCTTCCCTTTTGTTTGTAGGCCATTCTGTGCTTCCTCCTTGGTCTTAGCTAACAGCAGAGTCTTATTTATAATACTCAGTACTCTTTGAGGACATTAAGAGAAAATGAGTCTTGACATTCCTACTAAAGTTGCTCTGGCAATAGAGAAGAAATAGACATGACTTTGAATATTGATTGAAAAAATTCTGTGGTATATTTCATCCTTGAATAAATTAAGAAGCTTGAATGAAGTCAATTGATTCCCACTTGGGGTGGGACTGATAATCTAATTTGGACACAAACATGATATAGTTTGAATCTTTTAAATACTTAAATAAAAATTGAGCAAATGGATGGTTATTACTAGTGATTATTTTTTTCCAGAAATGCAAGACTCAAGATTTTAACTGTAGAGAGTGTTTATTTAGAATTAGCCAAAACTAAATCTAAGTCCTGAACTTAGAATTCATGAGTTTTATTCCACTTCTCTGATCTTGAATTTTGCACTCTGTGAAAGAAGAAAACTAATTTCCTTAACTCTAAACATGTAAAGTTGGCTACACTTAGGCAACTCATTCTTTGTGTGAAGCTCCAACAAAGTGTTGCTACTTAGTCTTCTCTCAAATTGCATTTCCCATCCAATGTATTAAAATCTATACTTTCTTCTAGTTCCTTTTTAACTATCTATATTTCTACTCTCTTGTTTCATTGCAAGGTAGGTTCTTCTGCCTCGGTCTACTTATAATGGAGAGTGGAGGAAACAGAAACATCAGTATCAAATATATTTGTAATTTTAACTAGACACATTTTATGTTATGTTGTCCTAACAATTCTTTTTAAATATAAACGGGATTAAGAAGAGATTGTTATAGTAAAGGTGAAAGTATCATATATGTACAGCCAAAGCACAAGAACTTGTCTTCTAGATTTAGTCCAAGAATATTTTCATATTTGTAGTTATTCAGTTCTTAATCTGATAATGGATAGGAAAATAATCTTTTGCATTCCTCAAACAAAGACCTGGAAACAAATCTTGCTTTAAAAATAAACATTCCCGGCCCTCCCTGGTGGCGCAGCTGTTTAAAGCGCAGCACTGAGAATCTAAAGCCGCTTCCGCATGAGTTCGATTCCCGCCTGCCCTGGAGGTGACCACATGGTGTGGCAGACCTCTCCTGGCCCACCCGCTGCTCTCCTCAGCAGTGTACTTTGTTGTTCTGCCTGTTCTGTTCTCCACTCTGTCTCTGGTGAAGCCTCTCACCGCCCCTGAGCCTCTGGCCTGTACCCCAGTTCTGTATGCACAAATAAATAAATCTTTAAAAAAAAGTAAAATAAAAAATAAACATTCCCAGCCCTCTCTGATGGCTCAACGGGCTAGGACACAGCACTGCAAGCTGGTCACAGCCACTTCAGTGCGAGTTCCATCCCCGCCTCAGAGGTGACCCACATGTCACAGCAGACTTCTCCTGACCCACCAACTGCTCCCCTCAGCAGTGTACTTCATCAGTCGACCTGCTCTGCTCCCCACTCTGTCTCTGGTGAGTCCTCTCACCACTTCTGCACCGCTGGCCTGTACCCCAGTTCTGTACGCATAAATAAATCGATCTTTAAACAAAGAAATAAGAAAATTAACATTTTAAAATAAATAAATAAATAAATGTTCCCAAATTTTCTATCCGATTGCATCTTATAGATTCTGAAAATGCAAAAGTGGGATGTCAGCAAAGTTTTAATACCTGAGAATGAAGCAATGTGCCAATGTGCATGAACAGAAATTCTGTTCAGACACGCTGGAGACTTGGGCAGAAATGAACAGACTTCAGTAGTTTCAGCCATCTACATTTTTTTCCCTTCTTACATAAACCATTCATGTTTTGTTTTGTTATTCTTTTTAAAGGAAATCACGTGACGGTTTTATTCATTTTCCCTAAGCCTACTTAATAACCAACTGGCACTCACTTAAATGAATATAATCTCCACTTTTTTGTTCTAGAACTACGACTGAGGCAACTTGGAGAGCTTGTCAAGAAAACTTGGGGAAATTTTCCTTAGATGAAAATTTCCTTAGATGAAATTTCCTTAAGTGTCAGTACCTCAGTGTCAGACTCGTCTAGGTTGTCATTTCCTTTGTGGTCTTGTGAAAAAGAAAGAAGTGGGGATGAAGGTGTCCAAAGGACATTTTCACCTTTTAGAAGTCTGTATTGGAAAGAAAAGAAGTTCCTAAATCAAAAAGGGAGAAATGGGTTTCAAACACAAGTTTCATGTCACCAGATGGTTTTGGCTGTGGTGAATCCTGAGATGTCAGAATGAAGCAGCCATAGAGTTGGGTAGTAAAAGAATAAACTAACAAAACTCTTCATCACTAGCATAGCAGTGAGGAACACATTTCATTGTGTGGCATTATGAGAGACAAGTGTTCAGAAATCTCTCACAGAAAACCCACCAGTCACAATGGGTAAAACAATTATGTGATCACACACAGCACAGAGTTCAGGATTACTGGCTAGGACAGCTCAATGATATTAGAACCCAAAAACTTTTCATCTCTCCACCTGCCTTCCTTAATGCTAGCTTCATCAGAAGATGTTCTATTAAGGCCAGCAAAGCAATATAAAGGGAGGAATCACTTCTTCTCAGGAGCAATGCTTCATTAAACCTTCCCAACACAGACCCCCCCACCTCCAGCTGACTGCTCCTTGGGTCCACGTGGGAGAAAAGGAAAACTTGCTGGTTCCTAACCCTGTTAGGAGGAGAATGGGATTTCTATGCCTGAACTAGATTAGTTAGTGTCTACTCTAAAACTAGGGTGATCAGCTCCTTCTGTATTAATGACATGGGGAAGAGGTAATTAAGCAGACTAAATGCATGTATGATACATTTTAGCATTTATCATATGCTAAAAAGCATAATCAAACTTTGCATTCATTATGTTAAGAAAACATCTAGAATTCCTGAATATGCTGGACTTGAGTTAAAATAGTAAAACATGATTGACAGTTAGAATATCACCTTTTTCATAAAATCTCATATTGGACCAAAAGTGAGATTTTCATGAAATGTGATAAAATCCACAACTGTTACCCAACAAGAGAAATCTGGGTCAATGACTAGCTTTAAACATTTTTCAAACTCGTTTTTATTAATATTTGTAAGTATGTTGGTAATCTTGCCAAAGCCTCCTTCAGCGTCTGAGATAACAATGATGACTTTGGTGTGTGATTTTGTGACATAATGGCTGTGTGGCTTTTCCATTTGTGCTTTGGATTAGGTGTCTGTTATCAGCGGGACCTATCTTGGCTTGGATTATATGAGCAAACAAAATGGAGGTGAAGGCGGGATCATTATCAATATGTCCTCTCTAGCAGGTAAGAACAATTATTACACTATTCATATCTTGTCCAGACTTTGAAGCTCAGAAGTCAATCTTCAATGTATGTTTATTCTCATCTCAGGTGAGATGAAACAGAAATTTAGTTTAACTTTTTTCCCATATTGGTTCAGTGGTCCTATGGAACGTCCTATTGTATAATGTCAAAAAGTTGAACTCCATGATTATTTCTATCAGTTTAAACAGAGATTTTTAAAACTATCTTGATGCCAGACTATTTTCAAAAATGGTTACATGTTTTCCAAGAGTTTCTGTTTCAAAGGTGGTTGTGACCTTCCTAAGTAGCAATGCCTGTAAAAGCAGCTTTGACCACATAAAAAAGTACTGAAACAAAGTCATTTCTACTCCCTGGTGTTTATGATAATAGCATGGATGTTGGGGGTTGCTGCAGGAGAAGCCAAACTTCACCTTTGCCCTCTTTCTGCAGTGTAAGCCCTTGGCTCCTATGTTTAAAACAGTGTTGGGTGTGTATGGCTTCATTGCTGAGTTCTATTCAGTTGACCTGTGTGTCTTTTTCATTTCAGTGCCACGCTTTTTAAATTAGTATTGCTTTGTAGTGTCATTTGAAGTCATGCAGCATGTTGTGTCCATTTTTTGTTGTTTTTCTCAGGCCTGTTTTTGCCATTTGTGTTCTTTATAGTTCCAAATAAATGCCATGATTTCTGTTCTATTTCTATGAAGAATTTGTAGGAATTTTGATAGGAATTGCAATGACTTTACATATTGCTTTAGGCGATATAGCCATTTTAATGACATTAATTCTTCTAATCCATAGAGGAAGTACTTGAACTAGAACTGTTTGTACAGTTTTCCTTGACTTAACTTACTGCCTCTGGTGGTAAGAATGTTTCTTTCCTCCTGGGATAGAAAAAGTATCTTTTACATAGGAGTTTTAGCTCAGGCTGTGCTTCTTACCTCATCTGTTTTTCTAGTACTATGGCTTAGAATTATTGCTATGCTGACATGATATATTTTGGTGGGGCCTTTTCTGCTACTCTTTAAGAGCAAACTGCTATAGTAAATAGAACCAAACATAATGGCTTAACTAAAGTATTAGCTTACTTCTGATTCATAGATTAGTCCAAGGCAAGATTCTTGTAGCAGGAAACCTCTTCTGTATGTAATCACTTGGAAAACCAAACTGGCAGCAATTCTGTTATCTTCAACATGGAACTCTCCAGATTATCCTGGCACTGGTGGACCCCTTTCCCTCCAACAGAAAGAGAAAGAGAACATGGAAGAGACATAGCTACTCCTCTAAAATCCCCAACCCAACGATGGCAAACCTCACAGTTTCTCACATTTGATCACATAGCTCACCTAACTGCTAGGGATTCTGGGAAATGCAATCCAGCTATGTGCTGAAGCAAAGACTTGTCTGCAAGGAAAGCTAAACACCTTTATCACAACACGCAGTCCAAACTATGCTTTATTCAGGGCAGTAGATCTCAATGTCACATGATCTTATATTGCTCAAAAATAGCTACAAATCTTTGGCAGGAACTTTTGGAGAAACTTACTTAACCACATTTATGAATTTAATGCTTTAAATTCTAAAAAGAAATTGTCAATGGCTCTTGGTGAAGTATTAAAAGTCTGATGAACACTGGTAACAAAGCTAAACTATTCATATCTAAAAATACTGAAGCCTTCTTAAATGATCTATTAGTGTGATTATTTTAGAATAGTTGTTCCCCACATACCACTCTATCCTCCACTTCCTGCCCCAGTCATATCTGGGGAGTCAGGCTTGGAGGTAACTGTCTCCACACCAATGGCTAATTCTTAGCACTCTTCTTTCTTTTGGGAATCATTGGCAGGTCCTTCATAAGACACTATACACCTGCCACCAACTGCACTCAAAAATCTCTTTCTTTAAAAGGTCTCAAAACTTGACCAGCATCTCATTTTCTGGATCACTTAAAGATAAAATGACATCAATGAAAGTATTGTGAGCCTAATCTAAATATCATCCTGGGCAACCTGGTCGTTTTTTCTTAATGTGACATGGACTTATAAATGATAACATTTCATTATCGCTAGTCACACACTGAAAGATTAAGAGTATGGACAGGAGTTGTAAGAGATATTTACCTCTAGAGAGGGTCAAATTATAGACTCTGAAGTGCTAAACCCCTAAAGGCAAGTTGTCAGGACTAAATCTACATGATTTGGGAATTTAAAAAAAAAAAAAGTATGTATTATTGAATTAAGAAAAAGTAGCTAACATTTTATCAAAATACAAGATCAAAGAAAATGTAGGGTGGTGATCAGGATATGATGCCATGGATCTTCTGCTAGTTCTAAAAAAACAAGCAAAATTCTGAGAACCATGTACACTACGTAATTGCCTCAGCCTTCTGAAATGGCACTGAACTCATTTCATTCTCAAGAAATCCATGAAGATGAAGACCTCAGGGCTGGTTTCATTTAGGAGAGAGACTTTTGTACTCTAAAGAGAATGTTTTCTTGTCTCAAAGATCTTGGGTAGGGAAATGGACTACAGTATCAACTTTTCTCCAATTTTTTTGAATCAGTAAGGACAAGAACATTCATTGAGCATTCACTATTTTAAGCTCTGTATATGGTTACCTTACTGAGTCCTCAAAGCAACTCTGTGAAGTAGATTCTGTAATCTCCATTTTGCAGATGAGGAAGCCGAAGCAAGAAATTTAAGTATCTTACACTTACTTGGTCTTTTACTTAAACTTACAGCAAGTAAGTGACAGAGCTGAAATTCCCAAGCCAGCAGCCTGACCCTTCCACATTAACAGCCAGTCATCTAAGAGTTTGTCTGTCAACCCATGGTCCTAACCATGTCTACCTTAACCCTAACTGTGAGGTAGAAGAAACTGAATTCCCAGACCTTGATTCAGCCAGTGGAATATGCTAATCTCTTCAGATCTCACTCCCGGACATTGTTTTAATCTCAAGACAACCTATTACACTTTTGGTGAAATCAAAACTTTTGCCCATCTGACTCATGAAGTAAAATCTAGGAAACATCAAGGCCACTTACCAAAGCCACATGTCAAACAGGCTATTGAGAAGAGCAATTTAGGGTTATCATTAGACACCTGTTTGCTTTCTTGACTAAGAGTTCCTTATATCACACTCCCCACTCCTAGGTGTGAAGTCTCTTCTTACTGATCTCAAAGCCAAAATCTGGGACCACCTGCAGATCCTTCTTTAATCATGCATATAAAGTAATGATTAGATATTAATTTAACGAGGCAATCACTTTGGTTCTAAATTATCTTCTAACACACTTAGTTCAACTAAGTATGTTGACACCCATTGCTCCGCCACCAGCTGCACCTCCCACAGAACGGGTAACTCTATCATGGCAGGTAATTTATATTTGGTATCATCTTCATTATGAAGGGAGGTAGTTCCCCTTCAAGACACCTGACCTCCACACCTGGTCACTTCTACTGTATTCTTGTCACCACTGACTCCTCTAGACAGAGTCTACTGCCTCTCCTTGTACACAGGCTTGGTCACTAATCTGCCTTCATCTCAGAGAAGTATTAAAATACATTGTCCTGTATTTCATCCACTTATAAAGAGTGCGAATTCTTCATATAGTGAGATTCTTTAGATTAAAAAAATTAGGATTTTGTAGTACAAGAAGATAAAAGATCTCTCAGTCTTCATACTTGCCTCAGAATTGTGATTAACAGTTTTATATCCTTGAGATCATAGCCTGTAGGTAGAAGACAACTAAAAATCTTTTCTTTTTATTTTTTAAAGATTTATTTTTATTGATGTATGTATACAAGAGATGAGGTTTAGATCAGATGTGCAGGGGGTGAGAAAATTCAACAGAGACAGAGTGAAGAGCAGAACAGATGGAGCTACTAAAATACACCTGCTGAGGGAGAGTTCTGCTGTGCCATGTGGGTCAGCTCCCTCTCTGGGGATTGAACTCAGGTGTAGGGGCTGCTTATAGCTTCAAAGTGCTGAGCCTTAACCCCTACGCCACCAGGAAAGCCTCACAAAAAGTCTTTTCTCTTTAAACCAGAGTTAAAGTGTTTCCTTCTCCTCCAGCTTCATTGGAAGACAAGAATGTAAGAAAATTATCTCTATTGTTTTGTACTTAGCTGTTTTCAAGCTTTCCTTCCTCATAAATTACTCTTGTCCACCCACCCAACTCCCATTATTCACTTTATTGAAGTAATATCCATGGTCATATTCAACTAATCCAGAGTTTATTTTTATGCTCTCTTCCATAGATTCAGTTGAGTCCTTCACTGTCATAGTAAAACCTTAAGTTGACACACTGGTTTGGGCAGAGAAGTTAATGAGTAATGACCACTGACGCAGAGCAAGTATCAAATGTAATTAATGAGTTTAACAACCAGAGTAGTTACCATAGAGTGTGATTCCTCAGCAGATTGAGGGAAGGGTGTGTTCGAATCAGGAGCCTCAGAAGCTCTTCTGATCATCATTAACCATTTGGACTCTTCCCTCCAGTGTTGTTTATAAACATAATACAGATAAACTTGCTTTCAAGGTTACATCCACCCTTAACTATTAAAAAATTTAAAATGTGAAAGAATGGCAGAGATGAGTGAAGACTAGCTTTATTGAGATCATGAAATAGCTGCCCTCCCCTAAAACACCCCCTGAGGATTGTATGCTTCTTACATGTTTCATTGCTTCAAACAATGGAGCATAAGAAATAGTTATCCCCAGAAAAACATCTGTCTACCAATTCTGCTTCTATTTGGTTGCATAGTTGACTATTCTTAGTATACATGGGGACATTCACTGTGCCTCAAAAACAAGTCCTCCAGTGACAGTTTCTGAGACATAACAAGGTTTTAAGTCTTCTGAGTTGAAAACATCTCAAGAAAATAAGTCAAAGAGGTAGACTTTTTAAAGTATGTTTTAAATACCTGCTCAATGACAAACTATTTGAACTACACATTTCAATTATCTTGAAGTATGTGTTAAAGCAGAAGGTACTAAAGT